GAAGCATAACTGGGAATGAATTTTGCATACCAGGAGGTAAGACCCAAGAAGGAACGTAAGGTTTGCAAACCTGTTGGAGGAGGAGCATTTGAAATTGCTAGGATATGATCTGGATCAGGTTTTAGTCCAGCCGGTGAAATTGTATGCCCCAGAAAGGAGAGCTCTGTTTGTCTAAATTTGCATTTAGACAAATTGAGCTTGAGGCCTGCTGTGCTGATGCAGTTTAGTACAGACTGCAGGTTATTGTCATGCTCCTCAGAAATATTTCCAAACACAATAATATCATCCAGATAGCACTGAACTCCATGTTGATTCTTCAGAATCAATGACATCGTTTTTTGGAAGGCACTTGGGACAGATGCAAGACCGTATGGAACAGGTTTAAAACGAAATAGTCCCTCGTGTAATAAATGCTGTGAGGTTTCTGCTATCTTCATGTAACATAACCTGGTGGTACGCGCTCTGCAAATCAAGAGTAGAAAACATCTTTGCTCCACAGAGTTCTGCAAATACTTCTTCTATGTGAGGCAGAGGGTGGTTGTCAATTGCAGTAGCTTTATTTGGCTCCCATAAGTCCACACAAAGGCTAATGCCTTCATCCTTCTTCTGTGTCACTACTATAGGTGAAACCCATTCCGATGAGTCAATCTCTTCAATAATGTCCGTTTGTACAAGTTTTTTAAGTTCCTCTGAAACAGCTTCCCTAATTGAAAATGGTAAGCACCGTAACTTCTGTCATGCAGGCATCACATTTATGTTACTTTTTAACTTTGTGTACAAACCCATAAGCAAAGCCAAGTTTCTCCTCAACCTGGTCTTGGGTCCCAGCTGAAACTGGTGTGTGTACTGCAAGAGTGCTTTGCTGAGAAAGATCAATTCGTCCATTTACTACCCTGAGGTTTAAAGCAGCCAATAAATCTCTGCCAAGGATCGGAGTGCCTTTGTGGACAATGTAGAACTCTGCAGTTACACAGCAATCACCAAAAGTGACTGTTGCTGGCAGGCAGGCAGCCACGTACTGGAATTTGTTTTTTCAAATGGCACACCAAGTGAAGTTTGAGTTCAGTAAGAAGTACATCTTTAAAGTAATGCAAATAGATAGAATCAGGTAGTATAGATACTGCTGAGCCAGTGTCCAACATTAGCAGGATGTGATTTGCCCAAAGATGTGGCAGAAACAATTACAGTGCACCTTATCTGTTCTGGAATATGTGCAGTTGTGATTTTGTCCATACTCAGCACAGTAACATCTGGTATTGTAACTGCATGCACCTGTTGATTGGACTGGTACTGTGGCATACCTTAGCAAAATGGCCAATCTTTTTGCAGTGATTGCACTGAGCTACTTTTGCAGGACATCTTGTGTAGCTTGCAAGGTATTATGGCGATCCACAGTGAAAGCATGCTTTTGCTGTGCTTTCAATTTGCTCATTCTGTGGTTTTTTATTTGTTTTCTCTTTGTAATTGTTTGTCTGCAGTGATAGTGGACTTTTCTGCAAAGGAGTCACAGCCTGGACTGAACCTCCTGTATCCATGCTCATTATTTTGGCTTCTGCTATAGCTGACTCAATCTGGGTAGCAACGGTCATTGATTTTTCCAGTGTAAATTGTGGTTCTAGAAGCAAGCATTCTCTTACACGTCTCTAATCATCTCATCTGCCATATTCCCAAAGTCACAAGTTACAATCAGACTCCTCAGAAAACCAATATACTGCATTATAGTCTCCCCTGGTTTCTGCTCACACTGGTGAAATATGTAGCGATTAGCTACTACATTCATTTTTGGCACAAAAAAGTTCTTTAATGAAGTGAGTACAGTTTCATATTTATCATCTGCAAGGGGAAAAGTGTAAAATATACACTGCTCTTCTGCTCCAAGGCAGTGGATTAGCAGAGCACGCTTTCTTATTTCAGTATCAGAGGGGTAGCCGTGTTAGTCTGGATCTTCAAAAGCAACAAGGAGTCCTGTGGCACCTTATAGACAAACAGATGTATTGGAGCATAAACTTTCGTGGGCAAAGACCCACTTCAGATATGCATCTAACGAAGTGAGTCTTTGCCCACGAAAGCTTATGCTCCAATACATCTGTTAGTCTATAAGGTGCCACAGGACTCCTTGTTGCTTTCTTACTTCAGGAATCTCTGTAGACTGATTGCAAGCAGATAAGTCTCAAACATATCAAGCAGATAAGTAAAAGCAATTGGAGGCTCACCTGGTCTTGGCAGAAAGGATGCAGGTGGGTTCAGAGGCAGAAGATCCATCCTCGTCACCAAAATATTGTATCATGTAAGCAAGGTACTAACAAACGTCAGCAGGACTTTACCAAAAGTGAAACCGCTTTACAAAGCTGCTGCTGTACCCCTCTATAGCTCTCATTCAGCCCCGACTAATCCTTCCGGGAGCAAAGGAGGCGGAGGGGCGCTGGGGTATAAGATGAAACCCTATCTTTTAATTAAAAAGATAGGGGGTCGTCTTATAGTCGCCCTATACGCCGGAAAATACGGTACTGCATTATAGTCTCCCCTGGTTTCTGCTCACACTGGTGAAATATGTAGCGATTAGCTACTACATTCATTTTTGGCACAAAAAAGTTCTTTAATGAAGTGAGTACAGTTTCATATTTATCATCTGCAAGGGGAAAAGTGTAAAATATACACTGCTCTTCTGCTCCAAGGCAGTGGATTAGCAGAGCACGCTTTCTTATTTCAGTATCAGAGGGGTAGCCGTGTTAGTCTGGATCTTCAAAAGCAACAAGGAGTCCTGTGGCACCTTATAGACAAACAGATGTATTGGAGCATAAACTTTCGTGGGCAAAGACCCACTTCAGATATGCATCTAACGAAGTGAGTCTTTGCCCACGAAAGCTTATGCTCCAATACATCTGTTAGTCTATAAGGTGCCACAGGACTCCTTGTTGCTTTCTTACTTCAGGAATCTCTGTAGACTGATTGCAAGCAGATAAGTCTCAAACATATCAAGCAGATAAGTAAAAGCAATTGGAGGCTCACCTGGTCGTGGCAGAAAGGATGCAGGTGGGTTCAGAGGCAGAAGATCCATCCTCGTCACCAAAATATTGTATCATGTAAGCAAGGTACTAACAAACGTCAGCAGGACTTTACCAAAAGTGAAACCGCTTTACAAAGCTGCTGCTGTACCCCTCTATAGCTCTCATTCAGCCCCGACTAATCCTTCCCCCTCCTTCCTGTTTCCTGTGCTTCCAGACTCCCAACAGACAGTGCTCCCAGTTCTAATCATTACAAGCAGCATCTAAAACACCACACCCCCGGGGGCCAGATCCAGGCAAACCATGGGCTGTATCCAGCCCCCCAGGCTTTAGGTTTCTCACTCCTGATTTAAAAGATGGCATCTCCGGTGGTCCAGTGCTCTTTAACCCTTACTTTGAATGCTACTACTGTGAAAAAATTAGGATGTATTTCAGATGTTTGTTCCTAGTAATTTTTTGAACTTAATTTTTTTTAAAAATGCTGTTTAGTTTTGCTCTATGTTTTTTCACACTCTGTAGAAGATAGTCTAAAGAGGCCTTTGCTTTATGACAAGAGTTTCAATAACAAAAACAAACAAAAACCTGGCCCCAGAGCAATGTTCAACCACAGGTATAAATACAAGTCCATAATCCTATGTGCTTTTGTTTCCTGTTCAGGGAGCAGGTGTGAGGCATTATTCCCCTCTCTTTGGCACGGGTGAAGCCTTATCTGGAATATTGCATCTAGTTTCGGGCCCCCCGTAACAGAAAGAATATGGGTGAATTGGAAAAAGCCTAGTGGAGGGCAAAGAAAATGATTAAGGGGTGGGAGCATGTAACTTATAAGGAGAGGCTGAGGAAACTGGGCTTATTTAGTATGCAGAAGAGAACAATGGGGAGGGGGGGATTTGATAGCAGCCTTTAGCTATCTAAAAGTGTATGTGTGTGAGAGGTTCCAATGAGGATGGAGCCAGGCTATGCTCAGTGGTAGGAGATGACAGAGCAAGAAGCAATGGTCTCATGTTGCAGTGGGAGAAATCTAGGCTGGATATTAGGAAAAAATTAATTCACTAGGTGGGTGGTGAAGCACTGAAATGGATTGTCTTGGGAGCTAGTGGAATCTCCATCCTTGGAGGTTTTTAGGGCTAGGGTTGATAAAGCCTTGTCTAGACTGATTTAGTTGGGATTGGTCTTTCTTTGAGCCACGGGTTGGACTAGATGACCTCCTGAGGTTTCTTTCAACCCTTTGTTCTATGAGTCTATGACTTTATGGCTGTGTCTAGACTGGCCAGTTTTTCTGGAAAATCAGCCACTTTTCCGGAAAAACTTGCCCGCTGTCTACACTGGCCACTTGAATTTCCGCAAAAGCACTGACGATCTCATGCAAGATTGTCAGTGTTCTTGCGGAAATACTATGCTGCTCCCGTTTGGGCAAAAGTCCTTTTGCGCAAAAGGGCCAGAGTAGACAGCTCAGATTTGTTTTCTGCAAAAAAGCTCCGATCGCGAAAATGGCGATCGAGGCTTTTTTGCGGAAAAGCGCGTCTAGATTGGCACGGACGCTTTTCTGCAAAAAGTGCTTTTGCGGAAAAGCGTCCATGCCAATCTAGACACTCTGTTCCGAAAATGCTTTGAACGAAAAACTTTTCTGTTAAAAGCATTTCCGGAAAATCTTGCCAGTCTAGACGTAGCCTATGATTTTTAAACCAAATGTAACAATTAATAATGTCCATTTATTATTAGTAATAATCAGCCTATGTACAACTTGACATCCAGCTGCTTCTCAGAACACCCCACATGAAGCAGGTTAATAAATATTGTTACCCCCTTTTGCAGAGGAGGCTGCTGAGGCAAGGTGGTTAAATGGCTGATTTGCAGTAGTGTTCATTTCTGCCTCTCCCACCATGCCACTTGACCATCTGTGTGCTGAGGATAAACTCTATTTCTTTGTTTCTTTCTCTTTCACCATTTAAATTCTCCTCACTTGGTTTCTTTCCCTGTTCTATTCTCTGTTTGCAGGTGGGCTGGATCCTCTCCATCCTGGATGAACTGCAACTCAGCCCCCAGCCTCCTGTTGCTGTCCTTCCACTTGGCACTGGGAATGACCTTGCTCGCACCCTCAACTGGGGAGGGGTAAGTACCGACTCCACAGCCCTCTAATTTGTGGCATGCCACCTATTCCTTCTAATTAGTAGTTGTTATTGGGTGGGTCTTCTAATGCCAATAGTATGTGGATGAGACTTAACAGACTTTACTAACAGTGTCATAGCCTCTTCTGCGCTCCAAGGCTACATCTACACTGGAGGCTTCTTGCGCAAGAACAGTCATTCTCGCACAAAAGCTTGCCTGCTGTCTACACTGAACGAGCGTTCTAGTGCAAGTAAATTTACAGTCTAGCTTAGTAAAACAGGGCTTCTTCTGGAAGAGTTATTCCTCCCCCCACGAGGGATAAGCCCTCTTGCACAATAGCTCTTCCACAAGAGGCTAGTGTAGACAGGCAACATGAATTTCTTGCACAAGAAGCCCCTATAGTTAAAATGGCCAGCAGAGCTTTCTTGCACAAGAGAGTGTCCATGCTGCCATGTATGCTCTTGCACAAAAGCACATGGCAGTGTGGACGTGCTCTTGTGGAAGATTTTTTGCACAACAACTCTGCCACAAAAGAGTTCTTGTGCAAGAAGCCGCCAGTGTAGATGTACCAAAGGTCTTACTGACCACTAGTGACAAGATTCTGCACACACATGCAATAAAATCCCTGCCCCAAATTGTTCATGATATCTTGCCTTGTTTTATCACAAACCTGAAACACAGTACAGGTTTGTGAACCTTTTGGACAGATGCAGTCCGAGTTTCACATAAACCCTTTCGTAGTTGTCAGGGTAGGTTTGAAGGTTTTGACCACAACCCATGCCAAAGTTCCTGGTTCACCCACACTCTAAATTTATGAACCTTTTGAGCAGACTTAGTTTGGATTTCATGTAAATTTCCTTCAGGCACATGGGGTTATAGTCTGTCTGGCCACAGTGTCTTAGGTAATTAACATGTGACATGATGTGTTCTAGAAGTCCATTTGAGCCTTTGGTGGCACTCATTCTGCTTCCAGGGTTACACAGATGAGCCGGTTTCGAAGATTCTCTGTCACGTAGAAGATGGGACTATTGTCCAGCTGGATCGCTGGAACCTCCAGGTGGAACGAAACCCCGATCTACCACAGGAAGAAATAGAGGATGGGACACATAAGGTTAGAATGGTCTGTTTTACATCAGAGAGAGGCTGCAGGATGCAAGCTGGGATATCTGGAGAACAGGAAAACAGTTTCCACTCTTGTCTCCTGCTAGAACAAGTTTAAAGATGTCACTCCATTCAGAAGTATATCAGAGTTACAGTGTGCTGCCCGTTTGTTGTCCCTCATAATGCTCAGTATCTGAGCACTTGTCTCAAGAACAAAACTCCTGGTTCACTGAGTCAGAGGGTAAAAATTTGTGTCATCTCATATGCAAGATTATTATTTCTTCCTGCCAACTTGTTTGCTGTACTGACAAAGGCTAGCTCCATGAGTCAGATCTAAATTGACCGAAAACCCACAAAGCTTCTGCATGTTCTTTGGCCTGCTCCTAGTAGACACCAGCTGTGTATCTGTTCTCCAAGCAAGGTGGTGCATATGTGTCTTTTGCCTCCCCTTCCCTCTGTGTGGTTCCTTTTACATCACTGACTCTCTCCCCATTTCTGCGAGTTGGAAGGTGAGACACTATTTGTCGTGGGAGGAGCTGTATTTCTGTTCTCTGCTGGTTTAATCTGCCATTATTTTAAAGTGAGGCAATAGTCAGAAAAATGACTCTGTTAAAATGACTCCTTGTTCCTGCCCACAGAGCCCCTCTACCCTTTCTGAGTTATAATTTCCAGCTGACCTACTGAACTTCAGCCGTGAAAGGGCCAGATGTGCTTTAGTCTGCTGCATGCATCATCAACAGAATTACCAACCATGTTCTGAATCCAGGATTTTTATTGCTGCTGATGATGTATGAAGCAGAAAGTACACAGCTTGGTTTTCAGATGCCATGCTGAGCATGTAGTGCCAGCAATTAGGAGAATCTTTGTTTTGACATGTTAAGTGGGAGATTGCTGAGAGAGGATAAATAAGGAACCCCATGATGTCATGTTTACAGAGTCACTTATGTGACCATAAAGCACTGCTGATGTGTTTGTGTTCTTTCCTTTTTGCATTTGATTATCTTCACCAAGCTGTTTCCAGCCTTCATATCAGCTCTGCGTATAACATTTCCCACAGCTTTCTCTTCTCTCTTTCTGTAGCCTTTCAAGAAGTGGTTAATCTGACAGATGGCATGAAATGTTTGGTCTTCTTTTCTTGCATATGTACCCACAACAGTTTCACATGTTTTCTTTCGGGCCTTTGATTGCAGCTTCCACTCAGTGTCTTCAATAATTACTTCAGCCTTGGATTTGATGCACATGTCACGCTGGAATTTCATGAATCCCGAGGTGAGAGGAAGCCTTCATTCCCTTAGCCTGTGGGAACCACAGAAATGGGGAAATGGCTTATTAATTGCAACATAGGATCACTATAACAACTTGTTTCTCAAAGTGTAAAGAGAATCCTAGAACATGTAGAGTCCTGTCCCAGACAAGAAAGTGGGAAGAACAATGTTAGCACTAGTTTCTGAGGGACTTAGTAGATCACAGTTGGAAAGATTTGTCCAGTTTTGTGCATCATACTGAAGAAAGGACACTGAAGAAGTAGAAAAGGCTTTGGTGATATAACAAGATTGATAAAAGTGTCTGGAAAAGCCGATATTCATGGGAGGAAAAGAGGCTAAGCACAGAGATACTTTTCAAGAGTTTTCAAGCTTTTAAAGGCGACATAAAGGGAGCTGTAGCTACTACAAAAGACTTATGTTGATCCAGAAATAGGGAATGTGGGCAAAAATAAGGAAAAAGTAGAGAGAGGAAGAAAATTGACATTGGGTACAAGTCAAAACGAGGAAAGGAGTTGGAGGGGGAGCGAAAGGGATATGAAGTTGTGGAAGGCAGATGGCAGAAGAAGTATGGTCATGTTTACAGAAAAACTAGGGAGATACTTTTTATAAAAGGCTATGGTGTAGTATTATTGGGCTGGACAATAGTGAGCCCTGGATCTTGTTGGTAAGGAAATAAACAGGATTTCATAATAATTCACACAAATCCCCTAGGAGTCCTAGCTTGGGCTGTTGTAGCACTTTATTTCTCTTCATACTAATGAAGATTGTGTCCTGCCAGAAACTCCTACAGAATTCCAAATATGCTTAAATAGCTGAGCTATGGTTTGACAGGCAGTACATTGTGTGCATGTACTAGGTAAGCATATTTATATTACCAGACTCTCTGTTCAATTTTCCTTGGTCAGCATGTTGTTGATTTAGCTGCATGAGTTTTGAACTGCAGCCTCACTTGTTCTCATTTTTATACTCTAACAATGTCATTAAAAAAGTAAAAAGATAGCACCCAATGCCATGCTAAATAAAGAGCCAAATGCCTGATGCAATGAGCTAATGCATATTTTATGATGTTTAAGACTGCTGTAAGCTTCAGGAATAATAATGAAGGGCCACAGAAGGGCACAGGAATGAAATGATGACAGCAGTATGCAGTTCTTTATGAATGCACACCAGTGTGCATTCCTAATGTAGTTGCAAATATACAGTATAAATGAGTTTCATGGTTATTCTCTCACTTAGTGGAAGCATTACTTAATTATTAAATTGTAGAGCTAGATAAAGAATGAATGTTATTCCAGACATGCCAGCGTTTAAAAAATTTAGAGGAGCGAGAAAATACTCAAAGAGCAATCTGTATGTTGGTAGGTGTGGATGGAGAAGCTTACATAGCACATGCATCTGCTGTTCCCATTCTAGCTGGCACAGTTATTTTCTCACTTCTTGATCAGAAACACTTACAAAATAATTCCTTGGCACAGTTATTTTCTCACTTCTTGATCAGAAAAACTTATAAAATAAGTGTGTTATAGGGGGAGAAAAGTTTAAAGCTTAAGTTTTGGTCTCTTATATGTGTTTGTGTTGATTTAATTTTCTCCATCATGTGTTATTTATGGAAATAATCAGGATGCGTAAGATTCTGATCTCATTTACAACGGATGTTAATCCAGAGTAACTCCACTGAAATCAGTGGAATTACTCTGGATTTACACCCATTTCACTAAAGAAGAATTTAGTCCACTGAATTGATGCATGCACATTCCTGAATTCAGAGCTATTGTTAATAACATAAAATAGCGTGAAGCAAATAAAATAAAGATATTGCCTTGAACTCTCCTAAACTCCCCCCAGCACCCCAGGGAGACAGGAGCAAAGCCGCACGGGCAGCGGGGTCCCTCCGCCTGTGCGGCTTTGCTCGGGTCTCCCAGGTCTGTAGTATCTCCCAGCTAGTGCGCCCCCCCCAGCAGACCAGGCTTTTGTTGCGGGACGCCTTGGGTAGAGCAGCTGGGGTGCTGCCGGGTTGGTCCTGTGGGAACCTACCGGGCAGCGCCCCAGCTGTTCTGTCCCAGGCTCCAGATTCAGCAGCTGTTGAAACTGATCAGGCTGATTCCAGGAAGCTGGGGGCAGAGCAACTCTGCCTCCGGCTTCCTGTAGTCAGCCCCTGGTCAGTTTCAGTGGCAGCAGCTGAATCTGGAGCCAGTTCTGACTTACATACAAATTCAACTTAAGAACAAACCTATAGTCCCTATCTTGTACGTAACCCGGGGACTGCCTGTATGGGGAAGCACATAGCTTTGCTGTTCAGGGAAGAACTCTAGGAAAGAAACTCTGCTTCTGAGTCATATTTCCTCCCCAGTTCCTCTCTTACTCTAGAACAGGGTTGGGCATGCGGCCTGGGGGGTCAGATCTAGCCCGCCTAACTCTTTGATCCGGCCCACGGTCTGCATCTGGACTCTTGCTATTTATATCCTGCTGCCCGTGCCACTGATTTTCCAGGCGGTGGCTCAGGCAGCAGGATTGTATTTAAATGGCTCATGGCTCCAGGTCATGGCACTATGTCAGCAGGGGGCAGAGTTGTGAGCCCTTGTAAATAGCTGCAGTAAACCCTGGCTCCTGCTAGGCAGCACTGTGGAGGCAGGGACAGATCTGTGAGTCCTTTAAATGGCTGTAATAACCCCAGGATGCTGCTAAGCAACACAGTGGAGGCGAGGCTGGGAGCCTTGAGCCCTTTGCTGTGTTTTTAATTCAAAGCCTCTGGCACCAGACAACTCTAGGGGGAGGCTAGTCCCCAGTCCTGTCCCTTTTGCCTTAGGCCACACCTCTTCCAGCGGTGGAGCTGGCCCATGACCACATACCAAAATTCATTAAGTGGCCCCCCTGCGAAAATTATTGCCCACTCGTGCTCTAGGAGGAAGTAAGTTACTTCACCACTTTTAGAGGTGCCACTTATTTCCTACCCCTTCCCCTGTGCCTGGCCCCATCTGCTGGCTGACTGTTGGGGTGTAATTGAGACAGATATAGGCACTGGGTATTCTGCCTTCCCAAACCACCAGGCGTTCTGGGGGTGGAATGTTGCTGCCCCCAGCACCCACCCTCCTAGTGCTCTGGGACTGGCCGTTTGGCATGCCCTCCTCCCTCGCCCAGTGCTCTGGTGCTGGAGAGGCCGGGCCAGGCCGTATGGCGCGGTGCGCCTTCCACAGGGGCTGGGGAGGCTGCGGTGAGTGTCTACCCACTCTCCTCCCTGTGGTTCAAAGGGTGGAGCACACACGTGGCTTGCCACGTCACCTCCCAGGGGGCAGGGAAGAGGCAGGGACTAGCAGAAGGGGCGGGGATGGAGGTGGGGCTAGGAGCTTGCCTCCCTCAGCTTTGCCTTCACCGACTGCCCATGGAAACAGAGCATTTAAATCTTTCCCACTCAGGGTATGTCTAGACTATAGGGTTTGGTCGACAAAAGTGGACCTTTGTTGACAAAACTATACCTGCGTCTACACTACCACTGTGTTCTGTCAACAGTAAGTTGACAGAGTGTGGCAGTTTTGTTGATGGCGGTAAACCTCATTTTACGAGGAATAACGCCTTTTTTCGACAGAGTTCTGTCAAAAAAAGGTGCTATTGCATACAAACTGCTTTTTCGAAAGAGCGTCTACACTCTCTTTCAAAAAAGCAGCTTGCTTTTTCAACAGAACTGGTTGAATGCTCTTTTTCAACAGAGGCTTTGTCAACAGTATCTGTCATAGAATCATAGAATACTAGGACTGGAAGGGACCTCGAGAGGTCATCGAGTCCAGCCTCCTGCCCTCATGGCAGGACCAAATACTGTCTAGACCATCCCTGACAGACATTTATCTAACCTACTCTTAAATATCTCCAGAGATGGAGATTCCACAACTTCCCTGGGCAATTTATTCCAGGGTTTGACTACCCTGACAGTTAGGAACTTTTTCCTAATGTCCAACCTAAACCTCCCTTGCTGCGGTTTAAGCCCATTGCTTCTTGTTCTATCCCCAGAGGCCAAGATGAACAAGTTTTCTCCCTCCTCCTTATGACAGCCTTTTAGATATCTGAAAATGGCTATCATGTCCCCCCTCAGTCGTCTCTTTTCTAAACTAAACAAACCCAATTCCTTCAGCCTTACCTCGTAGGTCATGTTCTCTAGACCTTTAATCATTCTTGTTGCTCTTCTCTGGACCCTCTTCGAAGCCTCTGTCGAAAGAGGCATGCAGTGTAGACATAGTCCTAGTTGCTTGAAAAGGGGTAGTCCAGGAATGTAGCCCCTGCCTTCCTCCTATACCCAGAGGTGCAATCCAGGCAATTTGAATGTGGCCCTGTGGAAGGGGGTACATAGGTATCCTATTCAGCAACTGCTGGGGGCACTTGTAAGTGTTTGTAGATGGAGCCACAACTTTGGCATGTGAAGAGATGCAATTTGCTGGTGCAGCAAAAGAATTGGCTTGGGAACATATGGCCTAGAGAGTATTGATATAGTAGAGTCCTGAATGTGATGTTTATTCACAACAAAGCAAACAGGATCATTGCCTGAGTGCCATGAAAATGTATTTTTAATACAGGCAAGTGCAGCTCATATTTCTATGGAGAGAGAATGTAGGTCACCCTTACAATATGGAAGTCTGTGTTGTGGAAAACAGTGATTCAGAAAAGGATGTAGGGGGTCATTATAGATGACTAGCTGAATATGAGGTCCCAGTGATGATGTGGTCAATAGGGCTACGTCAGTGGATTCATCATGCAGGAGCAGGGAGGTGATGTTACCTAGGTATATGGAGTTAGTGAGAGCCCTGCTGAAATCCTGTTACCAATTCTGGTGTGCACATTTTAGAAAGGATACTGAAAAAAATAGAGATGAATTGCAGAAGAGCTGTAAGAATGATTTGTGGGCTGAAAAACATGCTGTGCAATGGGAGATTAAAAGAGCTCTATTTATCTTATCACAGAAAAGGTTAAGAGGTGATTTAATCATACTCTTATAAGTAGCTGTTCAAGGAGATCTCTGATAGTAGAGGACTCTTTAGTTTATCAGAAAAAAGAGTAAAAGATCCATTGGCTGGTTAAGAAAGTTTAAACTGGAAAAAAGACATAAAGTTTTAGCAGTGATTAATTAACCATTGGAAACACATTTACCAAGGATGTGTAAATTCTCTGTCACTTGGAATCTTTAAATTAAACTTGGATATCTATTGAATTTGGCTCTGCTTTGTCCACTAGTTATTGGGCTAGGTATGAGAACCAAGGTGGAATTCTATGGCCCTTGTTATGCAGGAGGTCAGACTAGATCAGTGTTTCTCATCCAGTGGTACGAATATCCTCAGGGGTACTTAAGAGAAATCTGGGGGGGGAGGGGGGAGGGTACATCAATATAACTGAAATGTGGAGAAAACTGAATTTTTGTTTTAAGTTTTATAGCGTTTTATTATTTTTCTACTTTTTACACCCAAAAATGTCATCGCCTGCCCGGCTATGATTAAGTTGTTTAAACAAATGTGTTGTAATGGTAGAAAAAAATGTTGTGTGTCTGAAAACTGTATATACTGTTGATGCTTATAATTTTTTTTTTAAAAAGGGGTACTTTATAAAAAAAGGTTGAGAAACACTGGACTAGATGATCATAAGGATTCCTTCTGGCCTTACAATCTATGAACCATTCAGTTTTGTTTCAAAGGTTTCTGAACTTGGAATAAATGTTTCAGCAGAATTTCTAATGATCCAAACAGAGATCTACTCAGTGTACAGTGTGCACTAATATCACTGAAAAGTTTGATTGCACTGTTAGTGCTTGTCTATACTACAGAGAAGATTGATGCTGCTGCTGTCAATCTTCCGGGGTTCAAATTAGTGGGTCTAGTGAAGACCCACTAATTAGAACTGAGAGGGAACTCCCCTTGGCTCTGGTTGTCCTGCTCCTCATAAGGAGTAATGGAAGTTGATAGGAGGATGTGCTCCCATTGACCTCCTGCCATGTGGATGGTGACAAAACACAATTTAAGATACTTTGACTCCAGCTACGTAATTAACCTAGCTGGAGTTGCATATCTTAAGTTGACTTTCCCCTTTAGCATAGGCCAGCCCTTAGAAATTTATGGTGAAGACATAAAATGGACAATGTGACCATTGAACATGATGGTCTGGTAAATTCCCTGCAAAAGAATCATGTTTTGGGAGCTGTCTGCCCTTATCCTCACCTGCTCTACCATAGACCAAGAAGGGGCTGATCCAAATAGAACTGTTTAAAATTAAATAGCAAAGAATAGCACAGAGGGTAGATTCTTGTACAGTCAAAATCTATTTGACATTTCTTCCCTTTTAATTACCAATGGATAGTGGATGTACAGTGTGCATGAAATTGCTCTTGTAGGTTTGCCAGTGTAAGATGGTGCTGGAAATAAAGATTTCCGTTCCTCTTTTCACCCTAAGGAGTTAAAAGCTAGCAGTGTGCCAAGGCCGGAAATCCAACTATCTTTCTGCCTTCAGGAAAGCTTGGAATGAAAATTCCAGGGTGCTTTTCTAACTTACTCTCTAGTCATGACTTCACGTTCTTCCTTGTTTTTATTTTGCAGAAGCTAATCCAGAGAAATTCAACAGTCGCTTTCGAAATAAAATGTTCTATGCTGGGGTGAGTTGCAATGGATTTTACAGAAGAGTGTTGGCTTATTTATTTAAATGATGTATTATTTCTCTCCCTTTCACTCCTCAGGGTTATGATCATTCTTTTGCCCATCACCTTTAAAAGTATGTAGTATGCTTCCAGCTATTTCTGGCAGTTCCTCCAACATGTCTGTTTGGAAGGGCTTGAAGTATTATTTTCCTATCATAGTCAGTAGGTCAGAGGAAAGTTACAGAATTTGGATGAAAGACTGATAGCATCCTGTGCCCACTGCTCCACCAATATGCTCACATTGATTCCCATATATGGGCAGCACTTGGATACTGAATTTATTGGGGGAAATTGCTAGCACATAGGAAAAATTATTGGCTGCATCTTTCAGCCCCTGATGAGCATTCCTGGATTTGGAGCTAGAGGGAGGCGGCAGCGGAGGAGTACAGAGAGGTGCTATTTTGAGAATCTCATTTTCATACATGAATATGCAAATCAGATGACCATTTCATATCCAGCGGGGAGGTGGGCGTAATTAGGAAAGGGGTCCATTGACTGGATAATACTTCCCATTGCACTTGTCTTTCTACTGTCAGATTTAGTCACCGTGACCACAAACTTATTCACTAATAACCAACAAATGAAGGATTTGCATGATGTTTTGGGTGCACAATGGTACTCCAAGGTAATTCTTCCTAAGTGGATTGCTGTTTCTCAATGTAGCACCTTCATGCAGCAAAACAAGGGAACCAATCTTGCTTTCTGTGCCCTCATCTCCTGGCTCTGGTTCAAGGGACTCTTCAGACTTTGAAACATGCACTGCTGACTGGATGCTAACAGAAGAAACTTGGCCTAAACTCTCCGTCAATGGGAGCAGAAAATAAAAGAGGCTAGCACAGGCTGATATGTGGTGACACAATCTGAGGAGAGATGCAAAGGAAGCTGAAGTTCATTCCAATAACAAAAAATCTGATTTTAACTCCTCCCCTTTCTTATGTTTGGTAGGCAGCCTTTTCAGACTTCCTCCAGAGAAGCTCCAGGGATTTATCTAAGCATGTTAAAGTTGTGGTAAGTATAGGAAATTGTGGCATTATTTTGTGCAGTAAGACAGATGGAGAGAGAAAGAGGGGGAGATTGAGAGTGTATGTAAGATATGTGAAAACACAGCTCTAATCACACAGACCATTGGTTGTTACTTTCAGTTTTGATGGTGACATTTGAAACACATTGTGTGTAAATTCCCAAAGACTTTACACAAATGATAATTTCCCAGTGGATAACACACTTCCTTATCTCTCACACAGTAAATTGTGCCCAGCAACTAGAGAGTTGGGTATTTCTAAAACGAGATCCACATTCATGGGCAGGTTGTTACAAAATGGAGTAAGAACAATTATTATCCTGTCTGAAAGCCCATTTGCAAACCTTCTTTGTTCTGTTGCTATAATTTTTGCAGTGTGATGGAACAGACCTAACCTCAAAGATTCAGGAGCTGAAGTTCCAATGTATAGTGTTTTTAAATATACCCAGGTAAGTTCCAGTCACAATTTTGGGGTCACTAAGCAAACAACATAGGAGCTCCCTTGCTGGCTCCATAGGAATAATGAATTAACATGCACAATTTTCAGAGTTGTGCACATTATGCAGGGATGAGCAATAATTTTTGGTTTGGCGGGGGGCACTCTAAAAATTTGGAAAGTGATCAAGGTCTGCACTCTTCCATATTAATGGAGGAGATGCAAGTCTGGGATGGATGTTGGGTGCAGAAAGGAGCTTACAGTAAGGGATTGGGGTACAGGAGAGAGTGTGGGGTCTGGCAGGGAGTTTGGGTGAAAGAGGTAGTTATGACATGGGTTAGGGGACTAGGATGCAGAAGTATGGATTGTGACCTAGGGCAGGAAGGGGTTGTGACTTTGGGCAGGGGTCTGGGGTGCAGGGGTTTGGGTTGTGACCTGAGGTAGGAGATTGGAGTGCAGAATCTGGGAGCAGATATGGGGGCAGTAGAGGGGTCAGAGGTTTTGGTTATGTGGAGTAGGTGGGGGGCAGAGGTTTTGAAAGGGGGAACAGAGGTGTGGGGAGGCAGAGGTTTTGAGTTGTGACCTATGACAGGAGGGGGCAGAGGTTTTGGAGGCGGGCAGAGGTATGGGGTGATGCGGGGGGAGGGAGGCAGGGATTGGGATGCAGGATTTGGGAGGGGATGTGGGTGCAGGTGAAGGGGGTGGAGGGCTTGGGTTATATATGTGTGGAGGGGCAGAGAGGGGGAGGATGCATTTCTGTTCATCCAGAAGACAAAGATTAAACTTTCTTTTCTTTCAATGATTGTAAGACCCTGTGAGGGCAAATTCTGACTCTGCTCTCTAAAGCTCTCATTTTCTAACCCTCTTTCTGCAGGTATTGTGCTGGCACAATGCCCTGGGGTACCCCCAGTGATCACAGAGACTTTGAACCTCAGCGCCATGATGATGGTTACATTGAGGTCATCGGGTTCACTATGGCCTCTCTGGTGAGAATTTTTGCAGAACTGAGTGTGTTTTATTTTTGCATGCAGTAGATTTCACACTATGTAGGGCATTGGGACTAATTTGTGTGCAATTTTGTATGAGACACCTTATATCCATGGCTTAACATTAGAATGCACAGTTTCATACAAAATAATTCGATCCTATGCTTTCCTTAGATTCAATAAGGCAGAAAAATTTCTTTTGGCCTCACATTTTAAATTAAAATTAATTAATTGAAATTAACATTAAAATGATTAATAATGGCTTTCAAAGGAAGAGCAATATTATTTCATCATAAAAAAGTGCTTGTTGAAAAACTGGTTTCTTTAAACATATCTAATGGTGCTTCAAATGCTCCCAAATCAAAGGTAAAAAATGCCCATTAAATAAAGCATCATAGAAGGGAGGTACGAGCCTGTGTATGTGTGTTTGTACTATGGGAGACTTCTCTGTTCACAAATAGAGACGCTTCCCAAGTTACAAACAACTGATTTACGAACGTTCGCACTTACAAACAAAAGCTCACAAGCAGCCTCAGCGGAGGAGCTGGGAAGAAGCACAGGAGCAGAGCAGTGTTAGTGCTGGCCGAAAGACTCTGGAGGAGCAGGAGGTGGTCACGCAGAAGCGGTACTGTAAAGAAGAAACCGCTGTTTCTCTCCAGATGCTGTCTGCACAGCCTCCTCCTGCTCTTCTGGAGTCCTCCGGCCTTCGCTCGTATTAGGTGGGGACTGGGTGCAATCTGTGGAGTTTGTGTTGGCCTGCAGATGATGGGGCTGGCAACAGGAGCCAGTGCAGAGCCTGTAGGGGATGGTGGCCAGGGGATGCCCAGAAGACTCCTTCAGAATCTCCAGCTATCTCCTCATTCTCCTCTAATTAAATGCAATTTTTCTCAAGCATCAGCATACAAGGTAAAATACAACCCCCGCCCTCATTTCCACTATTTTTCATTGCAAATATTATGGGTTAAATAGGCTTTTGTTGGCTAGCCTGGGAACTGAACTACCATTTATAACATTGTTTCTATGGCAAAATGCATTGCAAGTTCCAAACAACTAACTTACAAACTTTTAGAACACAACTCGTTTGTAAGTTTGGGACTTTCTGTAGCTGCTTTTTGTTACCAGCCCCAATATAACTGTGTTATTTGCATTCTATATATGTTAGTGCTAGTCATAAATTCTTTGCTGAAGAATGGAGTCCAGCCATGTTTTTTGTGGATGTGTAGAAAAATTACATTTGTTGGAGTTTTCTTTTGCTTTTTTATGAAATTTATAAACAAACATAATATTTTGACATTTAACAAAAATTTCAAAATATTCCATGTCAGATTTACTGGAAAAATTATGTTTTAAAAAAAAAGGAGAAAAAAAGGTGAAAATATGAGGGATTTTTCCTCCAAACTTTTTGTGAAATCTTTTTCAATCATCTGTACCTATGATGCAGACATCTAATTTTTCAAAATTATACTGAAATAACATTATCTCCATCAGGTGCCGTACTGGAAGACATTCTTTAGTGTTAGGGGTTACCACCATAGTACTTAAAGTTTGTTCAAACTGTGCAATTTTGAGAGCTACTGCATTGTCAAATAGCTGTGTGCTCAACGGACGTCTCCTATTTGATAAAATAGGCATATATTGTAGCCATCCTCATCTTCAGTATGCAGCCGTGGCCTGTGTCTTACTTGCAATATGAAACACTACATGTTGGGACTTGTGGCCTTTAAAGGCTGTGTTTCCATATTGAGATTGAGCATTCTTTTCTGCTGTACTCTAGAATTCTAAAGTCTGCCACTGTAAGAAGTCAGGATATTGGGTGTAAAATGGATTATTGTTCAGACCCAGTATGGTCATTCTTATGTTCTTATTTGGCTCCAGTTGACCATCACTGGTATTGCAAAAGTTCTCCACCTAAATTGCACTTAAAAATCTAAATAGTTAAAAATAATTTCAATGACAGTTACATATTCTTAGAAAATCCCTGTTTTTCCTGTTTTATCAGTGCGAGTGGGAGAGAGAAATTTTCAGAAGATCATAGACCATAAGAGAAACACAAAGTATTGGACATTGTTCATTAATTAGTATAATTGCTTACTTTAAGTATTTGTATTTTCTAGCTGGTGCTCACACATTATAAATGATTTTGAAAATTGTACTGTCTGCATGTTAGCTCACATTTTGATGACTTGTTCTTTGCTTTCAAGGTCTATAGTGCCCTCAGAAGACTTGCATAAATCCAGTGAGGCTGATTTATCTTGTGCTGCATTATAATGAATATTTACATAAAATGATCTATATATGTGCAGTACATTAATGCATAAAATGATGCTGATGCATAATTAAGCATTACATTTGTATATGCACCAGACATGGAATTCAGAGTGAACATTTCCATAGCAACCTTAACCTTGTGCTATCATCTTTCAAGTATTCATTACAATTATTCCATTTAAAACTCTAAGCAAGATAACATGGTATCTGAGAAATAGAACATTTGTGAATCATTGGAGAATGAATAAATCTTTTTGAAAGGGGTGTTGTCTACTAATCAGAGAACTGTACAGTGATCTAGAAGCCACATGAGATCAGTTTCCCCCTGGCACTGATTTGCTGTGTAATCTTGGGCAAATCACTTATCCTAAAGTGGGAGTGGTAATTCTAATCCGCTCAGCAAAGGGGTTGAGAATTATAATTGTTTGTAAACTGTTTTGAAAGCATCAGATAAGTGCCGTTATAATAATTTTTTTCTTTTGTTCCCATACAAAAAATGTTAATGTTAAGCACATTACCTAGTATAAATCTTAAAAACACAAGGTCACCAATGAAGGTGACATTACTCTCCAGACCATCCTTAGTTTTTGCCATAATACCTATATATATTCACAGGTTCCTCAGTTCCATGCCAGAGTGCCTTTCAATTTCAACATACCACTGCCCACAATGCAGACATCTCATTCTTCAAAATTACACCGAAATAACATTAACTCCATCAGATTCCTCACCAGTAGACATACTTTAAATGTATATGCCCCTGTCTGGGGTTACCATCACAGCCCCAGTATACTGCAGAGCTATCAGTGGAATATTCCTAACATCAAAGGAATTCCTTAGTGGTTTAGATCTGGTGGAATAACCCTTCAGCATCGCCCCCATCATTATAACTTTTGGCGTAGATATGTATGAGATTATAAATGATGGAAGGGGCAGGATGTATTGGAGGAATGAGGTATAGCTGGAATGTACTGGACTATATTTACAATAGAGCATCAGCGCAGGCAACAGAGAGTTACAGTAACCATTGGGGAGGCCTCCAGAGTCCAAAAGGCACAGAGGTGATGCACAGCCCCCAGGGCTACTGGACTGCAATTTCTAACTAAAACAAGCTGAGGTCAGAATTAAGGTTGCATATTGGTTTTTGATTTTTGAATAGTCACTATAATGGTGGACCTTTGCTGTATCTTAGTAGCCATTTTCTGCATCACATTATGCTTTATGGTATGCTTGCCCACATTTGTGACCTGCTTTGGGATCTTTGGATGAGAAGCCCTATATCTATTTTAAGTAACACAGTGATGATGATGATCATAATGTAACAGTAGCCCAATTGTAATAGTCATAATAGGACACAGTTACGTTTCCTATAGGCAACAAAACAATTAATGTCCTGATTTCTGTTCCAGTAATGTTTATGCTAATGTTGTCTTAATATAGGTTTTTAAAATCTCATTAGACAATATTCACATTTTTTCTTGTTTCTGCCCCAAGATAACTGCTGAAATCTCAAGACCTTTGCAGGAGTTATTAACAACTTTATCTATCTTTTTGTCTGTTAGATTTTTGTTCCTTTTGTTTCTTCCACTGCTTTTTTATTCTGGCTCGGGTTTTAAAGTAGTTGTATGAGGAGATGGGTTTGGAAAGCTGGTTAGTTTTTCCCCTGTAAGTTAGGGTACGTCTATGCTGTGTGGCTATTTTGGGACACCAGAGGTATCCCAAAATAGCTACCCTACATCTATACAAGCCGCCTCTTATTTTGAAATATTTTTCAAAATAACTGGCACGCTTTTTCGACAGTCCAGTAGTAGTCCCCCTGCTTTCACCCACACACCCAGAGCTGGCAGAGTTGGCAGCTGGGGGCTGTGGCAGAGAACCTTCTGTAGTCTGGCAAATTCCCTGTTTTGGGACCTATCAGGCCCTAAGGGTGCGGGATAAAAGATGTCCAGCCTATATTTAATTGTTTTCTAGTCATAGATACTGAACAAGTTTTTTTCTCATGCTCTTTTCATTTTGTCTACTCCTGATGCTGAATTGCTTTATAAACTGTCATAATAAGTATTTCAGATTCATCTAATTCACATCAAGGACAGTATTGCCTTGGTAAAGAAGAAAACTCCAATTAATTCTGTTGCTTGTAAAAGCACGTAGATTACACGGATGGGATCTTGATTCATAGACTGTAGTCACTACTACAACAGAAGCAATCATATTTTAAAACAAGATAAAGAAATATATAAAAAAGCACAGTGTATGTTTGCAATCATATAAGTGTGTATCTATATCTGTCAATATAGATATCTAACACATATGCTCAGGCGATTGCCCCATGATAAATTTCATATCCATGTGATACATTAATTTATCATGTATGTTTGACTGCATCACCTGACCTCTGCCCAATGATCCTTTTCTTCAGGACTTTATTCTAGAATTCTGTGTATACTACATTCATCCTACCTCATTGCAGTGACTTATTGAAAAGCTTTCACTGGAACTTTGCCTCAATATGCCAGTTACACCCATGTCTCTTACTGGAAAACCATTCTGCAAATTCAGATGGCAGTGGGAGGAGAAATGTGGGGTTCTATTGAAATGTAATTTCCTATCGGGGATGAATTTGGAATATTGCGTTATTTGCATTGCATCCTTCAAATTAGTGGATAGTTTCTGCTTTCAGACTGTATTCTGGTAAGCATGTAATTCTGTGATAGAATAAACCACTTATTGCAACTGGGTGAATCTGATGTGCAAATATAGTTTGTAACAGAGGGTATAGAGTATTGGTTAAAACAGGATTAGGAAGCTGTTAGCCAGTTCAAGTGGCTGGTATTGGATAGTAATGTCATTGTTTTTCCTCCTTTTTGCTTTGTTCTTGTTCTGCAGGCTGCTCTGCAGGTGGGAGGTCACGGAGAAAGGTTGCATCAGTGCCGGGAGGTGACTCTGTTAACATACAAGTCTATCCCCATGCAAGTGGATGGGGAGCCATGTCGACTGGCTCCGTCTCTCATTCGGATCTCCCTAAGGAACCAGGCCAATATGGTGCAGAAGAGCAAGCGGAGAACATCCATGCCGTTACTCAATGAGTGAGTTGGATTTGTTCATGTCCTAATACAAGGAGGCCCTTGCTGGGCAGAGAATTCAAACAGGGAGTTTGCATGGACTGACCCATCAGAGTACTTGGAGAAAGAGGATGTAATGCTTTAGAATGATGTTCTCCTCCACATTGTAAATATCTACCAGATTTCGTTTGTGCTTTAACTAACAGGGTTCCCTTTGTCTTGCTTTCAGAAAGATGTTATGTCTTTCACTTATCCAAAAGGGGGAACTATTTGGGGAGGGCTGAGTGGACTCTGTCTTCTATGTAACTCTCAACTAACACTCACAGAAGCTGTGCAGATATGCCCCTCATATCCTTTAGAGCACCATGTGCTGCACTGAAATTAACAAGTCTTTTGGATCCCATTTGGAGACTATTCAACAAATAACCATACTCCACTGCTGGGATACAGATGAGCTCAGACTATATTGCAGTGTTCACGCTGGGAGCATGTAAATGGGACTAGGCTGAGGAATCACTGCATAAAGCTATTTGTCACCTTGTGGGAAATTGTGATTGGAGTGCGCTGGCATAAACACTAAGGGCTTGTCTGCACATACAGTGCTGCAGTGGTGTAGCTGTGGCACTTAGTGAAGACTTGACCTATGTCACCAGGAGAGCTTCTCTGACCAGTGTAGTTACTCCACTGTCCTGAGAGGTAGTAGCTATGTCAGTGGGAGAAGCCCTCTTACTAACATAGCACTGTCTATACTATACTGTCTACAGTATAACAGTGACACTCAAACCCTGAGGGTGTGTCTAGACTTCAGGGTTTTTTTTAAAAAAAGTAGCCTTTTTTCAAAAAAACTTCCCCTGCGTCTAGACTGCTGCTGCATTCTTTTGAAATTAAATTGAAAGAACACGGCGTTTTTTTCGACCGCGGTAAACCTAATTTTATGAGGAAGATTGCCTTTTTTTGAAAGTGCTCTTTCAGAAAAAAGGCGTTCTTGAATGCTAACAGGGATTTTTCAATAGAGAGCATCCAGACTGCCTGGGTGCTCTCTTTCAAAAAAGCGCTTTTTCGAAAGGAAGTGGTTGCAGTCTAGACGCTCTCTTTTGAAAGAGGCTTGTAGTCTAGATGTGGCCTGAGTGATGGATTTATGTCAACATAAGTCTGTATTGCTGACCAAGCTTATATGTCTACTCTTCAGCTGGGAGCATGCTTCCCAGCAGAGGTAGAGAAACTTGTGCTTGCTCTGCTCAAGTTGATGTGCTAAAAATAGCTATGTGGCCACTCTGATGCAGGTGGTAGTTTGGCTTGTTGCCTCAATCCAACCCGATGTGAGCCCCTGGGTATGTGTTGCAATCTTGGGGCAGTGGTAAAACATTGTAGTGTTCTTGGCTGAATCACTGTTCCACTGGAACATCAGCCAGTCAGAGGGGACTTTCCTGATCCATTGGGCAGTATTAAGGGATGCATTTTGCATGAAACATTAGATCCTAGTGTATTTAGCAGCTTCCAATCTCCTACAAAAAAAAAAAGCTACAGTACTCCAAAATAAAAAGAAGATTAGATTAGGATTGAGAGGGTCTGGATCAGGCAACCAGAAAAGAAAGGAAGAAAGGACAAGTAAGGAAATAAGTCATGTAAAATGAGAGGGAAGCAGCATTTGAGTAGCCTGAAAAGAAACAAGGAAAGGCAGAAATTAATGGAAGCCAGAAAACATCCAAAGAAAAGAAGAGATTTTAAAAATATCTTTTTATATTAAAACATTAGATTAAGAATCCATAAGAGATATTTTTACTAGCATAAGAATATTTTTAAAAAATGTAAATGCCATTATTTTTGATCTATCAATGAATCTTTCTGTGCTGCTGAGATGGGAGTTAATAAACATTCCCACCAACTTCTTCATGGTATATTATTTGAATGGAAAAAAAAACCAAGACTGGTCTTCAGTATATGCGAAGCTTAGGTGTCAAGCCAAACACCTCCACACCCTGCTGATGTATTTCATTCAAACAGCCACAACTTCAGGAGCATGTTATTCCTTTTAGTCAATCATGTAATCCAGTAGTTAGCAAGAATGTATCAATTCATAAAACCAAGCCTTTTGTTATATCAAACAATGCCTCCCTGCTCAGTTTGGTAGAATCACAGAATCCTAGGGCTGGCAGAGACCTCAGGAGGTCAAGTCCAATTCCCTGCCCAAAGCAGGACCAACCCTAACTAAACCGCCCCAGCCAGGACTTTGTCATGCCAGGACTTAAAAACTCTAGGGATGGAGTTTCCGCCACCTCCCTAGGTAACCCATTCCAGTGCTTCACCACCCTCCTAGTGAAATAGTTTTTCCTAATATCCAACGTAGACCTCCCCCACTGCAACTTGAGACCATTGCTCCTTGTTCTGCCATCCGTCACTACTGAGAACAGCCTCTCTCCGTCCTCTTTGGAATCTCCCTTCAGGAAGTTGAAGGCTGCTATCAAATCCCCCCTCACTCTTCTCTTCTGCAGACTAAATAAGCCCAAATCCCTCAACCTCTCCTCATAGGTCATGTGCTCCAGCCCCCGAATCATTTTGGTTGCCCTCCACTGGACCCTTTCCAGTGCGTCCACATCCTTTCTATATTGGTATGTTCAGTTGTGTTAACACAAATATTGTGGAGCAGCAGTCTAAGATTGGAGTTTCCATGTTAGTTTCTTACTTGTCTAGAAAGAATGTTAGACATAAATTTCACCCTTGAACCATTGATGAATAGAAGACTGTCATCCCCTGAGCAATGACCTTTAATTTCTTTCCATCACCCCATTCCATGTCACAAAGTCCAAGCTAGAAAAATTCAATCCCGAGTCATTGTTTCAAACCATGAGGGTGGTTACAGCAGGTGGAAGAAAGTATTTGGTGCATTTCAGTCTAGTTATTAGCATGGTCAAGCATGAACTATAGCATCTAAATTTAAACTGTGGTTGGGATATACGCATCTGCTGCTTCATGATAACACTGTACAGTAATTCAGTGTGACTATGATGCCCATGAACACTGGAGAATATTGTTCATCACATAATTACTTTGAAAATGTCGTGCCAAACTCCACTGGGTTCAGAGATTCCATTGTTCGGGTACCTTTTGGTTTAACTGAAATATCCACTTGTGAGTCCGTTTTTGAGGGTATATTGACAATTTGTCAAAGACTTTAATCCCAATTGCAGATCTCTGTAAGGTCTATGCATCTGTATGTTTGATTGGGTGGGGCTGCAGGTGGGAAGCAGATGGAATGTCTGTTGAGTTTCTTGGCATAATAAAGATGAGTTCTAGGAGGTCAGATTGACTAAGCTGGAGTTTGTCCAATATGACACCGTTCTGCAAAAACTCCACCATAGACATGAAGTTTTACCTTTTACATGGTCTTATACATTTCTCAACCTGATCTCTGCAGTGTTTAAAAGCATCCCATCAACATCTTTACAGTTGTTAGAATAGGTGGCTTTTTCTCCTCAGACTGGGGGGATGTGCACCCTGTGAATTATAGATATGTGAGATTACTAAATGAGCCTGCCACTGCACCTGCAATTGCTGGAAGCTTTTCTTAAGCTTTCTGCACACATAGTGATTAAAAAATAATCTCACATCACACTAATTCTGAAAGCTATTATTAATTTCTTTGATGATATTCGAGGAGGAGGTTAATAGCAGAAATTCCCTTTGGAATTTTGTCTGATGTAGTGACAGGAGAGAAAGTTTTCTTTTCTTTAAGTTTCTTACTCTGTTTCTGACTTCCCATAGTCTGTTGTTTTGGAATTCTGTTTTTCATAGCTTTCTGGGCTTGCTGGGAATGATAAATTTACCATCTTCCCTGCTGATGCTTTTTTCAAAGGCAGTCAAATCTATATATACAATTAGGTTGTATACCTGTTGTGAATAAAAACAGTTTTTGTGCATCAAAGCAAAACACCTGCCCTGAAATACTGTGGTGAGTGTTAGTTGATTTTATTTTCATTGACAATTTTGACTTTGTTGAAAAACCTAAAAACTGAAAAGGGTTTGAATTTTGGATTTTTTGTAAATTTTCATTGAGTTGAAAATCCAATTTTCCATCAAAAACCATCTTGATGGAAAGTTTTGGACAGGATCTAACTGCAAGAATATTTCAGATGAATCTTTAATAAAGGGATAAACTTTCTAGAGGAAGGCATTTCGAATGGAAAAGTGCAAAAAGTAAACTACGGTAATTATAACAGATTAGTTACCCCAAAACTTCTCCTTTGTACTTTAACTTTGTGTACATAGCTAAAAATATATACTACTTTATAAAAAATCAGAACCATTTTTGTCACTGTGCATTCTAGAAGGATTGAATGCAACAGAGATTTCCTCTTCCTCCTGCACCTTTCTCACCCCTATTATTCTCCTCGGTCTCAAAGAGCTGCCTGTATATTCCTACAGTGTCTTCATTCAGAACCTGTGTTTGCCTGGCTCATAGGACACAATGGGTACCTGAACTACTACTTCTATAAAGCAGAATGCTAGGGCAATGCAGTTTAAGGCTGATCTGACTCATAAGGAAGTCTTTGCATCAATTCAATAAAAATTAAATGAAACATTTAGATTTCAGGAGTGTCATGTTTTGTTTCAATCAAAAATGTTGAAACAAAATTCACTGTTTCTGAATACACGTTTTTCAGCATTCCATTAAAAAAATTAAATTTATTTTTTTCTTTTATTTTAGGATGAAAACAAAAGTTAAAATATCAGAATTTTGCTAAGCTTTAGAAAATAGAAATGTGTTAATAAGTGGCTAGAAGGAGATGTTTGGGGTGAGCAATATATATTTCTCCCTTTGCTCTTATTGACCAGAGGTTGCTGTGATGACCAGAAACCTCTCTTCACAAGCAGAGGTAGCCAAACAGTATATTTAGAGCAAAAAGGCAAAGTCTATTTAACTTAACAAAGAGATGGTTAAGGAATGAGATAATTACAGCCTTTAAGTACCTATGTGAGGAATGAATATTTGATAATGGGCTTTCTAGTTTAGTAGAGAAAGGTGT